GAATCACACATCAGTTCTTAAGTACTTCACACCACATTGTTAGTGTAAGTCACGCTGCCACGATTAACTTCAAGAGGCAAGGAAAATACAGTTCTCCCATGTGCCCAGAAAAAGAGAAAAGTCAGAAATAGTGGAGCAGGGCGATTGGGTGGCTCAATCGGTTAAGTGTCTGACACTTGGTTTCAGTTCAGGGTTGTGAGATCAATCCCCAGGACTGGCTCTGCACTCGGTGGGGAGTCTGCTTGAAGTTTCTCTCCCTCTCCCTTTGCCCATCCCCCTACTCACGCATGTGCTTTCTCTTTCAAATAAATAAATGAATCTTTTTTTTTTTTTAAGAAAGAAATACTGGAGAGTAGCACTAGTATTTAACACAATAGGCCCTCAATAAATGTTCACAATGTTCCAGTGTTATGCCGAAAGAGGCAAGCAAACTACCGTTTACTGATCTCTTCAAATGGGTTAGACTTTCCTAGACATTTTATGTCACTATCTCAACTAATTGTCATCACAAGCCATTGAAAGACAGTAGTATTCCTTCTTTATGATATGAAATCAAAGCCTCAGAGAGTTTAAGTTACCGGCCAAGGTCACACAGCTAATAGGCGATACAGCTGAGATTCAAACCTACACTGACACGTCGTTATCACCCAAAGTCCATAGTTTACATTAGGGTTCATTCTTGGTGTTGTACCTTCTATGGGTTTTGATAAATGTAAATGACATGTATCTGCGTTTATGGTATCATACAGAAGAGTTTAACTGCCCTAAAAAGCCTCTGTGCTGCACTTTCTTCATCCCTCCCTCCTCTTTAACTCCTGGCAACCACTAATATTTTTACTGTTTCTGTAGTTTTGCCTTTTCCAAATATCATAGCATCGGAATCTTACAACCCCTTTCAGATTGGCTTCTTACACTTGGTAATATCCATTTAAGGTTCTTCTGTGTCTTTTCATGGTTTGATTGCTCATTTCTTTTTAATGCTGAATAATATTCCATCATCTGTATGTACCACAATTTATTTATCAGTTCACTTACTGAAGGATATCTTGGTTGTTTCCAGGTTTGGGCAGTTATAAATAAAGCTGCTATAGGGGCACCTGGGTGACTCAGTTGGTTAAGTGTCTGCCTTCGACTTGGGTCATGATCCCGGAGTCCGGGGATCAAGCCCCATGTCAGGCTCCCTGCTCAGTGGGGAGTCTGCTTCTCCCTCTGCCTCTCACCCTGCTTGTGCTCTCTCTCTCTCTCCCACTCTCCCTCTCTCAAATAAATAAATAAAATCTTTTAAAAAAAGAAAAGAAAGCTGCTATAGACATCTATGTGCAGATTTTTGTGTGTATATATTTTATAATGTAATAATTTTATAATGTAATACCAAAGAGAATGATTGTTGGATTGTCTGGTAAAAATATGATTAGTTTTTATTAGAAACTTCCAAAGTGGCTGTACCACTTTGGATTCCCACCAGCAGTGAATGAGAGTTCCTATTCCTCCACATTCTTGCCAGCATTTGGTGTTATCAGTGTTTTGGATTTTGGCCATTCTAATAGATGCATAGTGATATCTCATTTTTGTTTACAATTCCACAATGATACATGATATTGAGCATATTTTCATATGCTTATTTATATATATATATATATATATATTATATATCTTCTTTGGCAGAATATTTGTTCATGTCTTTTGCTCATTTTAAAATCAGCTAAAACAGGGCGCCTGGGTGGCTCAGTCGGTTAAGCGACTGCCTTCAGCTCAGGTCATGATCCTGGAGTCCCGGGAACGAGTCCCGCATTGGGCTCCCTGCTCGGCAGGGGGTCTGCTTCTCCCTCTGCCCTCTTCCCTCTCGTGCTCTCTGCCTCTCATTCTCTCTCTCAAATAAATAAATAAAATCTTTAAAAAAAAAATCAGCTAAAACACCTTAGGAGGAATAAAAACTGAGAGAATGTATTACCAATAAACTCTCACTAAAAGAACTTTGATAAATTGTAGTTGTGGGAGAAAAACCATCTCAGAAGGAAGTTCTAAAATGCAAGAAGGAATTATACAGTCATTGACTTACACAAGATGATGGTATCTTCCTCCAGAAATGATGCACTTCTAGCAAGCAATTACGGTAAGAACAGGTCATCTCAATTTAGTCTGAGATACAGCTAAAAAAGAAAGATGGGTTTTGGTTTTAAAGGACCGGTCTACTTCAGTTAGTTCTTAAAGTATAATTCTTCAGGGGTCCCAGTGGAAAGCCTGGAAGTATTTACAGAAACCTCTCCTACTTCCTGGGCCCTGAACTCCAATTTTTGTTCCTCCATACCCATGAAACTGCCTAAAACTCTGCTTTACCCATGGTCCCTCAGCCACAGCTTTTCTCTTGGCTTCTCTGTTGCTCAGCTCCTCAACCTCTAGACCACTGCTTACTAATTGGTAAATGCCTCAAAGCAAAAAGCTATGCCAAATGTGAGGCCCACTTCTAAGCTTACCTTCTTTACAGTCTCTTAAGTCTTCATTGCCATGTCATCTAATTGTTTTAAATTGATTTTTGAAACTATTTAACCATCTTTCCTAATTGTTTAGCTCCAGGGCTAGTCTGTACAAGCTAGTCTGCCACAGCCTGAATTGAAAGTGTCGTTCTGGTCTTTGCAGAGGACAAAGGATAAATTGAATGGGGATATATACCTCTTGCATGTTTCAAATCTTTCATGGTGGCAGTCAACCAGGAATATAGTATTTGTCTTTGATTTTCTATCTTGACAGGGTCCAGATAGTTTCAAGACCTTCCACTTGTCCCTTACTTCATGGGTCAGAGAACCAATATGAAGGCTCTCCCAGGCGCTAAGAATATTTATCCCACATATATGGTAAAGAACTGAAAAAATAATCAAAAGGTATACAAAAGACTCATGCCAAAGCTCCTTTTATCACTTGTCCTAAGCGATTTCCATTCCAGCCAGAATATCAAGGTGGCATTTGGATTTTCCAGGTGTCAGTGTGAGCTCACACCTCATATGAATCAATCTTTGAAAAGTCTGAGTATTTCCTGGGGCGTCGTGATCGAGCCCTGTGTTCGGCTCTGTGCTGGGTGTAGAGTCTGCTTAAGATTCTCTCTCTCCCCCTCCCTCTGCCCCTAAGCCCCACGCTCCTACCCGCTTGTGCTTGCACCCTGGGTCCTGGGATCGAGCCCCGCATCGGGCTCCCTGCTCAGCAGGAAGCCTGCTTCTCCCTCTCCCACTCCCCCTGCTTTGTGTTCCCTTTCTCACTGTGTCTCTCTCTGTCAAATAAATAAATAAAATCTTTTTAAAAATTTTAAAATAAATATATTACCACCATTTATTAAATAACTAAATACAAAAACATAAATTTAAAAATATTTTGCAATCTAATATGTTAGCTTGTTGATTACATTCAGGCATTTTACTGTGTGAGAGAGAATATAAGTCTACAAGGGCAGGGAATGTTGTCTGCTTTATTCACTGTTGGATCCTAGTCCCTAAAACAGTCCTGGACCAGATGGGAGCTCAATAAATATTTGCTGAATTGAATTAAGTTGACAATCAGTCTCTTCACAAATCGAGTTTCCTGTTTCCTGTCAGTTCTAGAACAGTCAGCATGGTGCTGTGCTGACCCATCTTCCTCTTCATTGGCTCGGCTCCAGCTCTCAGGGCTGGGTGGACACACAGTTGGGGATCTGGGCCATGGCAGAGCATTAACCACCATACTTAGGTTTGTGCTGGAAGGAAAACTTGTCTTCTTACACAGAAGGACTCGCATTCTCCAACCTGAGACTCTATGTCTGACTGCCCTGCCCCCTCCCCTGTGCCCAGACACAATAAGAGTGGTTGCTGCACACAAACAGCCGAGTGTGATCCATACAAGCCGTGCAGATAATGCCTGGGGTAATGGCGCCCATCGATACGGAGCCTCAGCCTACACCTGTAACTGTATCCCAGCACGCAGTGTAGACCCTGTGGTCAGTAGATGAAGTAGTCAATGGCATAGTTGAATATTCTTATTGGATCTCTCCTCCAGTTCTATCTCAGTTTTAAAATATATTTTCAAGAACATACTTTCTGGATCTTTGAGAAATTTCCTCAAGTAGAAGAACCTTCAGTTATGGTACCGATCGTCATAAGCAGGCAGACTGGATGGCTGCAGTTCTACCCCTGGGGATACAGGATGATAGGACCCTCTAGAACCCAGTCTTCTGAATATAACTGCCAACCAGCTTTTCGGGCCCTTTTGTTGGGAGAGGACTAAGAATTCTCCCCGGCCACAGTGCTCTGGGCTCCACCAAGAGGGTTTCTGCCTCCCTCCCTGAACTGGCAGTGGGATTGGTCTGCCAAATTCTTCTCACTGGCCAAGAAGAGACCTAGTTACAGATTTTTACACTATCCTCCTCCAAGGAAAATCCTTGAAAGTCATTTTAATTCTCCGGCCAGTCCTGGAAGGTTCATTCATTCATTCATTCATCCATTCATTTATCACCTACCATTTAACCTGCACCCTCCCTTCTTCCGCTACACTGCGGCGAGGAAACCATGCTCAGCCCCCGCCCATGCTCCTGCAGCCCACATCCCCGCTAAGACCTGCTGGATCACTTCTGCCTGTGGTTCGCCTAGCAACCCCACGACCTCCGTCACCAGGGAGACGGGAATGCTCAACCAGCACGGATGCAGACTCTCCCTCCAAACTCAGCGTGTTTTCACACGGACGGTGCTCACTTCAAGAGTAGGACAGAGGTGCCTGGGTGGCTCAGTCGGTTAAGTGTCGGACTCTTGGTTTTGGCTCAGGTCCTGATCCCATGGGTGGTGAAATCAAGCCCTGTGTCCGGCTCCGTGCTCAGACGGAGTCTGCATGGATATTCTCTCCCCCTGCCCCTCCCCAGCTCACACTCTCTCTCAGATAAATAAATAAATCTAAAAAAATGTATGGGGATTAGTTATTTAGTGGGAAGCCTTTAAATAAACTTAAAAAAAAAAAAAAAGTAGGACAGAGGCCAGCAACAAACTGAATCAGAGTTGTTTATTTTTGTTTTATTGGAACATAGCCCAATCTGATATAAATATTAATTTATCAAATTCTTCTTCATTTCATAAATAAATATTAAGTTAACAGACATTTTACAGAATGTTGTGTTAAATAAGGTTAAAGTACATATTTATTTTGCCTGGAGGAAAATACTTCAAAGATCGGGTATCTGAAATATGTCTCAAACACTTTATTTTTATGCCTTCTGCTTGTGTGAGGTGGTAAAGTAGTAGGATGCCTGAAATATCTACTTTGCCTCTGAAGTTTAAGTCTATGGATCATTAAGGCCCCCTGCTGGTTGGCCCTCATTCTTATTGCAAAAGAAAACATTCTTCTTCTCCTCCAAAATCTTTCACTACAATAAGTCAGTTTTGTCTCAACTTTCTGTTGTCCACTCGGTGTTTATGACACCAAGAAACACTTGCAGGTGGTCTAGGAACTTTTCTACTCTCCATCTTTCTCCTCCACACCTTTTCTGTGAAAAGAACAGACAAGAGGTATTGTAGGAAAACTGTCAGTTCTTGTCAAAACAGGCACAGCCAGACAAATATACTTAAGTTTCCACCAACTGTCTTTAACTTACTTTTTGGAGGTCTATGTGTTGTTTTATGAAAGACAAGTTTTGGAATAGTTTATCCACAGCCTCCCCTTGTGCAGTTCGGTTCTTCAGTATGTCTATACCCTGAAAGACTTCTTCAATGCACAACTGGTGCTAAGTGAGGAAAATTTTTAAAAATATAAATAATCAAAACAAGCTATGGGGGCGCCTGGGTGGCTCAGTCATTAAGTGTCTGCCTTTGGCTCAGGTCATGATCCCAGGGTCCTGAGATCGAGCCCCGCATCGGGCTCCCTGCTCCGCGGGAAGCCTGCTTCTCCCTCTCCCACTCCCCCTGCTTGTGTTCCCTCTCTCTCACTGTGTCTCTCTCTGTCAAATAAATAAATAAAATCTTAAAAAATAATAAAAAAAACCAAGCTATCAAAATTTGGTCCAAAAATTTAGACTTTGTTTTGTGGAGTTTACACAAGTTCCTTTCTCCCAAGAGTATTTCGCTTGTTTCTTTTCCAGGTGGGAAACCACCTCATACTGACCTATAATTTCTTCCTTTTTTTTTTTTTGTAAGATTTTATTTATTTATTTGAGAGAGAGAGAGAGCACAAGCGGGGTGGGGGTTGAGGGAAAGGGCTAAGCAGACTCCCCCCTGAGCAGGGAGCCGGATGTGGGGCTCGATCCCAGGACCCTGAGATCATGTCCCGAACCGAAGGCAGACGCTTAACCTACTGAGTCACCCAGGCGCCCTGAGCTATAATTTCTATAAGTAAATGACATTTATATAATTACTGAGGGGTTTGACAAATGATATAAATTAAATGCTTAATGAAAAAGTGTTTAAGAAGTATAATGCAACTATATTACTGATTTACCTCACATCAGAGTTTCCTCTGACAGTTCTGGCTGGTAATTTTATTCTATTTAGACTAATGATATCACATCTTTAACATTTTAATATGACCATGACATACTTCAAAGGTGTACAATTCTATTAGAGTTAAAATCATTTAAGAAATGACTATTAACATAGGACCTCACTGTATATTTTAATGTCTACTGACCATAATTCTAAATATATAACCCTAAGTTGCTAGTACTTTCAGAAAGACTTTAAAGTGAGAAAAGCCAAAGATAGAGGCGAATGGAGACTAGGAGGCACCTCTCACCCAGTATGGAATTTTTCTGGAAAGAACGCTTGATATGAGGCTCTTTGAGATGGAGAATTGACAACATCAAAAAAGGGCCTGATCCACTTGCTTAATGGATTCTACTTAATATTGTAGAGTCATTCCTAACACCATTCCTAATATTCATAAGCACATACACTCACATCCACATACATAAAAACAAAATAGATGAAATTAAATCATTCCAATGTTAACTAATGCTTTGTAGCTTAAAATATGAAACTGATTCATGCAATTGTTTTGTCAAATCATAATTTAACTTACATTTTTATGTTCAGGAGTAGGAATCATCAGGTTCTGAAAAGGAAAGGAAATACATTCATTTTTAACATATTGTAAGATTCATAACTTTTAATATAATGCTTCCTAGTAACATGGTTACCCATTATATATTACTAACACTCATAATTTCATTATTAATAACAGATCTTTAAAAATCAACCACTGCCAATGATTACCCATGCTTTTTAAATAGGAATCAAGAAGAAAATTACCCCATCGCCTATCAGCAGAGTTCGATGAACGGAGAGCAGTGTCAACGTTTCTGCAACCAGTCTATTCATGGTACTTTCTACAGCAGTGACAGAAACATAGGCAGCCCCAAGAGCTAGCAAACTCAAATGCAGAAGCATTCTCATAGCTGTCAAATGCTCAGTGTTTGCCTTGGGCAAAGAAAGTGCATAGTACAAGATTGCATCCCCAACCAATTTATTCTCTATCTTTGAGGAAATGAATAATTTCTAACAATCAGATAGAGAATTCCTAATAATGGCATTTCGTAATACGAAATGTTTCGAATGCCTTGTATCTTAAAAAATAATTTTACCTTTATCTTTTAATAATTATAAAAATCCCTACATCCCCCCCTTTAAAAACATTTTCTATTACAAAGAAAATCTTTGGGTTGATACATCATTGCCTCACATTTGCATTTCTTAAAACCAGAAGATTAAATTTCCTCTTAAAAGATATGTGTAAAAAGGAGAAGTATAATGCACACCACTAAATTTTATACTAGAATGTATAAATATTGGGAAAGTCTTTTTCAGGTTGACAAAATTCTATCACTGTTGTTACTAGACTGATCTGTCTTAAAAGGAATTTAAAAATACTTATGGGAAGATGGTGATTAGAGCAGAGACCATCAAAACTTAGCAGGGTCAAGTTCACTGGCAACTATGTTAGGATCCTTTCTGTTGCCAGTGACCAAAACCCTAACCCCAACTGGTTGAAGCCAAACAGGGAATTATTAGATCATACAACCAAATGGTCCAGGGTAGAGGCTCCTTTATATCTTGCTTGCCTTGGTGATTCTTCCTTGGCTCCGTTGTCAGGCAGCTCTCCCACTGTGGTCCCAAGATGACGTCAAATCTCCTGGATCTGTATGTATCCTGTTCCTGAATAGCAGGAGAAAGAAATTTGTGCTTTTCTGATAGCTCAATCAGAAGTCCTAGAATTCAGCTTCCTTATGACAAAGGACCTCATGTTCACCCTTGAACTGTGGCGAGGGGTATGGGTTATACTGATTGGCTCTCCCTGTAGCTGGAAGCAGTCTTCACCCCACCCAAGTTGCTAGCTGGCTGTGCAAATCAATGGAATGTACAAGGTGTGACACAACAGAGATGGCGGGACTAAGTAAACTGCAGCATTGAATGACCTGTCTAAAGGTGGAAGATGCTCCTCAGATTCAGCTGATTGCTGCCATGTGACACCCTTGGACTTCTGTTGCTAGATCATCCCAATTTTTAAAGAATTCAAAAGCCTGATTATTATGTATAACCTCCTGATTTTTAAATGCTGGCAATTCATATTAAAAAAAAAACCACAACGATATAGGGTACCATTGTGCAGCCTCTGATTTGCAGTGTAACTGTAGGTCAAGTGGGAGGGCTAGTTATTAAAAAGCCCCTTCTATTCAAAATAATATTTCTCCTAAAAATATTTTATTATGGTAAAAATACACATAACATAAAATTTAACATCTCAACCATTTTTAAGTGTGCAGTTCAGTGGTATTAAGTACACTCACAATGTTGTACAGTCCATCTTGCAAAACTGAAACTCTACGTGCATTAAACAACAGCTATTTCCCCTCTCTCCAGCCCCTGGCAATCATGCTTCTACTTTGTGTCTCTATGAATGTGACTATTCTCGGTAACTCACATAAGTGGAATCATATGGCATTTGTCTTTTTGTGACTGACTTATTTCACTTAAGATATCTTCAGGATTCATCCACATTGTAGCATTTGACAAAACTTCCTTTCCTTTTTAAGGCAGAGCAATATTCCATCATATGCATATACCGCATTTTGCTTATTCATTCACCTGTCAGTGGACAGTTGGGTTGCTTCCATCTTTTGGCTATTGTGAATAATGCTACTATGAACATGGGTGTGCACAATTATATTTCTTAAAAATGTTGTCATAATTCATTAACTTTTCCTCTGTGAGACTGATCTCCCAAACCTGACTTCAAACTCTCTCATAGCAAAGACTATAAAATAATGTATTTAAAAGACCTTTATTGGGATGCCTGAGTGGCTCAGTCGGTTAAGCGTCTGCCTTCGGCTCAGGTCATGATCCCAGGGTCCTGGGATTGAGTCCCACATTGGGCTCCTTGCTCAGCAAGGAGCCTGCTTCTCCC